TTCTAAGAATGACTGGGTTTTGGGTTGGGGTTTTTTTTGGGTTGGGTTGGGTTGGGTTTTTTTTTGAGTTTTAATGCCTAGGAGCTTCTTCTGCAGAAAAATACTAAAGTTTTAAAGGTATTAAAACTCTGCTGAGTCTGCCCAGCTATTAAAGGGATGCTTGAACATTTCTAAACAGTGTCTGTGGGTGCTTTATGATTATTTTTTTTTTCATACGACTGTTGGAGAGGGAAGTGATTCTCTTTTTACTTATGCTAACTCTATGACACTGCCTTCAATGGAATTTCACATACTGAAGCTTTCAGATACTGATGTCTGTATTTATGTGAAAGTTTTTTGGATATTAATCTGTTTTTTATTTGGAATGCCATTTTGGAATGGATTTTACTGGAATGTCATTGCCAGCATTCCCACCAGGTAGATTCATTTTGCAATCAGGGATGCATTTCAATACCATTCCCGTACTAATGGAGCACACCATGGAGGTTGCAAGAGTATCTTTGTAGACTCATTTGCTTTTATTCCATGTTAATCTATCTTAATAAATTATGACCTTACTGTGTAATGCTGGCTAGCAAGAAACTTCCACAAAACTTGCTTTTAAAATGCTCTCAGAAGCCTGATTCGTGATTAATTTTTACCATCTGGTTTACAGCATGAAAAACTTGAATGTTAGAAAATCAACGCTTTCTATTCTTTGTTTCTCCTTTGCAGGAGGCTCTTACCCCTCAAAAATGTATCCATCACATCATTGTTCGGGGGCTTGTGCGTATTCGCTGTGTACAGGAAATGGAGAGGATACTTTATTTTATGACGAGGAAAGGGCTAATTAATACAGGGATTTTATCAGTCAGTCCTGACCAGTACCTTCTTCCTAAAGAATACCACAGTGTAAGTTGCTGTAGTAAAATCTATGTTATTAGTGCTATGAAACTACATGGCACATGTTATATTTTTTTGCGTTCTGGATTTTTTGCTCATTGACATAAACAGTTGAAATGATAGGTAAAATGACATCTAAAAGCAAACACACTGCATGTTTTTCACATGGTTCTCATCTGCCTTCAATGGTTATGGAAACTACAGACACAGGATTCTTCCTAGCAAGGTTATTTGTTCCCACTAAAATCTATGGAATTCAGTCCTACGGATTTGTGCTTTCTGTGAGCTTTTTCAGATGGATGGGAACTGTGTGAAAAATATACAATACACTTAGGTTCTTCTCATGGTTTAACTTTGTAATACACCTCTGCTTCCATAGGTGAGAAAACTCCTATTCCATATTGGTTTGCAAGAACTCTGATTAAAGGGTACATATTTATGACTAGCAATTTGCCTGACAGCACACAGAAACTTACCAAATTAATGTATTCTGTAATGGCATATCTCCTAGAAATTGGAAGTTGATTTATGTTTGGAAAGTGTATTTGTGTATGTTTTTACTTCATAAAATAGTTTTTACTGGTCAACCCAATCTGTGATGGAAATCATTACAAGGTAAGTGTGTTTCTTGTCTGGTAACTTCAGTTAGATTTTGTTACTTGACTGATAACTTCAGCTGTTTCCATCAGAAGAAATTGAGACATCTGCTTTTAAAGTCCTTAAAAATTGTAACTATTTTCAAAGCTACAGTTGACCTTTTCTCTATATTAAATGCACTATCATCGTAAAAAGTTATCACTGATCACTTTAGAGGACAAGAGAGCCTAGACTTCAGAAACCTACAGGTATTTTTAACTTTAGCAAGAAGAAAAATAAGCGTGCTATGATAATTTCTATTTTAGTTCTAACTATATTTATTTAAATCTTTCTTTTATTATTTCTTAGAAATCTGTCATTATTGTTGGGGCTGGTGCAGCAGGATTAGCAGCAGCCCGACAACTGCACAACTTTGGAATTAAGGTAAGAAACTTTAGACTACGTTACTTAAAAAATCAGACTTCCTCTGCTTTGAAAGTGTTCTTCAACAGAATGAAAAAAATTGCATTCTTGTTACAAGCATTTATGTATAGGGCATCCTAATTAATTTGTAAAATCTGGGGTTTTACTGAGTAAATCTGCTGTTTAAAAACAGCATTTATTTGTATCTAAAATTCAACAAAGCAGGCAGTGAATATTTTACATAGACTTGGGTTGGGAGGATAGGGGAGACATGGATATTCATGTCCAAACAATGGGACAGTAGATGATGGCTGTTTAAATGAGGTGGAATTTTCTGTGGTTTGTGCACTTGACTGTACTTACTTGTTGCTTATTAAAAACAAGCAAATCACGTCTTTCCCTTTTCCCTCATATTTATCAGTGAGAGTGTGATCTCACGATATTTACATGTTGACATAATTTTATACATCAGAATATGCTTATGAAAATCTGTGGGACTCTCTATACATGAAGTGTTTGCAGGGCTGATGGTTTAAGGAAATGAATGAGCATCTGACTTTCCAGATTTATGTATTTCTATGTTCATATACGTATATATTTATATGAATCCCTGAATCCTGTAGGCCCACTATCTCATTCTTTGATTGCTAAATAGAAAATTGCAGTGCAGCATTTCTGTACATCAAGTCCTGTGGAAAGCTATCCTGCAGTCAAATACATAAATATCAACTGGCAGGACCTTTTTTTGAATACATAAAATCTTTTTTTTATATATATACACACTGTTGCTTTCTACTGTTCTGGAGAGATGGAGTTTCTCTAAAAAGACTTTCTCTAAAAATAAAAAGATAATATAAGTAAGGGTAAACACATTCAGTCAGACATCCATCTAGTCCAGTATCCTCTGTCAGTCTGTGAGAAGCAGTGGATGCCGAAGGAGGTATGTATGAATGGTGGAAATGCATGAGAATGGGGTTTTCTTGGCGTATCCCAGGAATAAATTTCTCCAAAAGGTGTATGGACTTCCTCAGATGGATACTGCACCCAGATCATTGTGTTGAATAGCCTGTAGCATGCCTTCAACTCCGATTTTGAGATTAGGACTTTAGCTTTTTTTAAAAAGAAGGCTTATTTTTGTTAGGGTTGGTTCTTAAAGAAACAGGTATTTTATATGTAAATGTAAATATATCCCACAGGGTAACTTTTAAAAGACAATTTAAATGCATAAATGAACTATATCCACAAACGAAAATAAATTGTTAAGATTGTTAGCATGGCTGGATTGCTTGGGGTTTTTTTGTTCTTTCGTTTTCTCCTTTGCTCTGGAGTTGAACAGGTATGTTTAATATAATTAAATCTTACCATTTACTAAGCTGCATTGTGTCATAGGTCATTGTCTTAGAAGCTAAAGACAGAATTGGTGGCCGAGTGTGGGACGATAACACGTTTAAAGGAGTCACTGTTGGAAGAGGTGCACAAATCGTCAATGGATGTGTCAACAACCCAATGGCACTAATGTGTGAGCAAGTGGGTTCCCTGCAGTGGTCATGCATTATCACTAGTGAAAAATGGTTGTTAAAGCCAGGTCCGGGTGGCTGGGTAAGGGTGGGAGTCCTTTTTCATGACATGATTAAAACACTGTTCTGTATTGTAAGTAAACTCCGTGGTGCTACTGTATCTTTGATAACAGCTGGGGAGAGAGAGGGGCTGTAGAATGGTTTCAGGCACGTTATGTAAAGAAAAACCGAGGTGGCTCCAGCTTCAGAACCGGAAGAAACCACTTTTTTCCCCTTTTCTGGAGATAGTCATGTAAAAGTTCCCCAGCAGACTTCCTTAGAGCTAAGAAAGGCTTTACTGTGGGAGGCTATTGCTATGTTGTCGTAACACATACTTCTGTGATGGACTTGCCTTTGCTCAGCCTCTGTATTTCTAGTTCGGTTCCATACAAGTTAAGACAAATATGTCTAACAAGTATTCATGCAAACACACTGCAGTTTGATTTGTTTGGTTGGGTTGGGTTGGGTTGGGGTTGTTTGGGTTTTTTTTGCAGGAAGCTGAATTTCTCCAAGTGGAACCTGAGTATGGATTTTGTTCAGAGGGCCATGCAAATCCAGCCCATGCTGTTTTAACTGTTTAGTGCTCTATAAAGTCATGAGGAAATTCTTTGGTTTTTTTTTTTTTTTTAATTTTAATCATGTTTTAGTTATGAGGTGAGGAGCAATGACTTCCGAATACACCTTGGGTGCCCATCCCTTTGTGGTCATTTGATGTCATCTTTCATTCAAAGTACAAGTGTATCTTGGGAAGAGATCTGCAGCGGTGACCAACAGCCTAGAGAGATGTGAGGATACATGAAAAACACTGGAGCACGCTCTAAGTAACAAGGCCCTAGGAAGAAGTTAGCGCTTTATTTGTGCTGTTTTCTCTAGGCTGACTCTGTAGAACATAAAAACCCCTTTATTCTGATTTACCTCTGTTGTGTGTTCATACAAGTTGGACAAACAGAGCAAGATACTAGGTTTAATTCCAAATAATTTCTTTCTTTGCTTGTTTGTCAATAAAATTGGCAGTAACTGGCAAGCAACATCCTGTCAGTTCCTGAATGCAGGGAAGTGTTTGGGCACCAGGCACCAGAAAGTTGTAGAAAAGAACTGATTTTAATGGCGACTTAGAGAATAAGGTGAGGTAGAAATGAAGGAGACTAGTTCATCATGTTTGATTACCAGACCCAACATCTCTGTACTGATTGGTAAGAAAGCTGGAGATAAGGTTTCTTGGAATCTCTGATAAAGAAAACGTTGGAAGAGTGGGGAAAACCAGTTTGTGGATAATTAACAGATAGGAGGATTGTTGGTACTCCAGTTTTAGGAGAATGAGAGTTTGAGTTAATCTGACTATTTAAAGTTCTGAATGTGTTTTCAAGTGGCATCACTTAAATCTGAGGGATTCACCTTACTTTAAATAACTTTGAGCAGGCAAGGCACTGCAGTTTCTTCATACTTAAAAAGCAATAAAATGTCTTTCTCTTAAGCTTGGCATTAAAATGCACAAACTAGGGGAGAAATGTGACTTGATCCAGGAAGGTGGAAGGATAACAGATCCCACTATTGATAAACGTATGGACTTTCATTTCAATGCCATCCTAGATGTCGTCTCCGAGTGGAGAAAAGATAAAACCCAACATCAAGATGTTCCTCTTGGTGGTAAGTGGGAGATGTATTTCAAAGTGAAGATGTTGGCTGTATATTAAATTGACTTTTACATCAGACATTTTTAGAAGCGTATGGCTGTATATCTGACCTTAAATCCAACAGTGCTAACCTGGCTTTGTGGAGGACAAAGTGAGATTGACTACCGTATACACACAGACCAAAATGTCACTTGTAGCTTTTAAGGAAGCCTAATGTGAAGGCTTTTCTAATACTGTACGACTTCTGATGTAGTATCTTGTTTTCATGAGGTAGCTTTTTCAGTGTAACTAGTGGCACTAGCAGTTCAAAAGACTTGCTTCTTGCTGAAGCAGGCCGTAGCTAGCCATAACTCATCTACTTTTGACTAATCTTTCTAAAAAAGAGCCGGATCAAAGCCTTCTGCTGGCAAGAATAGTCCCATCTCCATTGGCAACACCTCCCACCACACTGACAGCACGCAAGTACATTCAACAAGAAAAAAACCCAACTTGCTCAGAAACGTCTGCCTCCCAAATCCTTTCAGCGTGGATTCTGTAAGACAGAATTAGCAACTCCCATGTTTTTCAGTGAACTCTGGATCAAGTTTCTCAGCTCTTTTGATTTCGTAAAAATTAAGCAGGATTTATTTGCAAGGATTCTGCATTATCTCAGTGTATTTTCCTTGACATATCTTCAACTGTATATTGATGGTAGCTAAACAATTAATTTCTCTTCTGTCTCAACTGGCTATCCCAGCTGTGCTGTTGCACAGTGTGGTGGTTTTTTTTTTCTTTGAAATAGTTTAAACTTCTTTTTTTCCTGAAGCTATATATGTTTTGCTTTTGAAGAAGATGATTTTACTAGGGAAGCTTATTAGAATGAAGTTGTATTTTTATCACTGGAAAGATCTGGCATTTTTTTTCTATGAGAAGAAAAACATCTTAGTGCAGATTAACAATCAGCTTGAAAGTCTTGTGATCCAGAGAATAGCATATTGAAATGCAGTAGGACTTCTGACAAATTGTGATACGTTCTTATTTTAAACATGTTCTTTCACAGAGAAAATACAAGAGATCTATAAAGCCTTTATTCAGGAGTCTGGTATCCAGTTCAGTGAGCTGGAAGAAAAAGTACTACAGTTCCATCTCAGTAATTTGGAGTATGCCTGTGGCAGCAATCTCTCTCAGGTGAGTTTTGACAGCTGTGTTCTGAAGTGGTTGAGCTTCACAGAAAACAGGGTTGGAAGTAACATTGAGAAGTCATCTGATCCATCCCATGGCCCCAAAGGAAGAATTAGCTATCGCTGAACTGTTCCTACATCCCTAACCTGTTCTTGAAACGCACTGAGACAGACTCCAGCACTGCCTTAGGTAATCTGATGGGAGTTCATGACGTGCTTCCAGCGAGATCCTCTTTAATGTAGAAGTCAAGAGTAGATGGTGCAGTGGAGTAGGGCATTTTGCTGAGATGCTGGGTGGTAGGATTCACAGGAAAGTTGATCTTCCTCAGATGTTGTGTGTGACTTCTGCTTCTCAGTTCTGTGTTTAAAAACTGAGGTATTTCTCTACCTTGCTAGGTATCTTGAGAATAAATGCATTTAACTTCTGAAGTGTTCCAACGCCCTGACGGTGGGCCCCAGTTCACCACTCCTAGGTATTCTGTTGACTATGTGATACTTGGCTTTCCTCGCGACTTCAGTTTTAACCAAGCAGGTTCAGGAAATATCAAAGTATGATGTTGTTTGCAGTGCATTATTTACTCAGTCCTGTTGCTTGGGTTAAAGATGCTTAGGGTCAATTGTACTACGGTAGTGGGAACAGCCGATTGATATGTGCAGATGCACAAATCTGATCTGAACTGAGAAGCACATAACAACATAACAAAAATCTGCAAGACAATGCTGTACCAGGGCAGTCGATGGAAAGTATTGTGATGTGTCAAGCTTTCAGACTTCATGAGCACCCAGGGGAAATAAGAAAGATGTTAAAATCTCTCTTACCTTCAATTTTAAAATCAAAATATGAAGTAGGAATTGGCATTTGAATAGCAGTTTGAGAATTGCTTCAGATTTTTCACTGCTATGTGGCGATTGCTTAGTGCGAATATCACTATTGTACTATGAGTTTGCAGGGGAGAAGGGCAATGAAAGATATCATGGAAGAACCTCCAAAGTGACATAAAAATTCCATTGAGTTTTTTTGTATCTTATTTTCCCCTTCGTGTTGGGAAATGAAACATTTCCATTTTTATTTGAAGTGTTAAAGCTGTAAAGTCAGATTTCTTTGCCAGAGACAGAGAACTGAAATAAATACACTGCAGTCCACCTGAATTTTTGTACTACTTTCCTTGTTTTCTCTACCAAGCAGAACTATAAATTACCTGCTAGTAACCAATCCATATTATGACATTGCTTAATCCAGCAATTCGTATGTTTTATAGTGGCCTTAGGTAAATAAGCCGTTTGCTTTTGTCAGTGTTGCCATACATTCTGGTGATACACTCCCCCCCCTAGTTGTGAAGGGAATTAGGGTGGCTTCTTTTAAACTCTGGGACTTCTGCTAGTGCCCATGTCACCTCACCAGTAGAGACAGCTAGTTATGTTCTGTCCACAGGTATCTGCACGCTCATGGGACCACAATGAATTTTTTGCCCAGTTTGCTGGAGATCACACACTTCTAACTGTGGGATATTCTACTGTGATTGATAAATTGGCAGAAGGGCTGGACATCCGGCTGAATTTCCCAGTGAGTCTGGAAAATGTTGATGCAGTGCCTGTCTTGGATTGCTTTGAAGCACCCACTCATGGCTTTGTAATCTTTTGGAGCAGGCAAATCTCTGCCTGTGATTATTTCAACTTGTCTTTAAGAAAAGCGAGGACAATTTCAGCATTTCTGGAAATCCTCTCTGAGGACTATCAGTACTTAAATATTATGATATGATGAGCTTATATGTTAGAATCATGATGATTTTTCTTTTTCAGCTTCCATGGAGGCTTTTTTTTTTTTTCTTTCAATATTTCTCTGGAAATTTGTGTTCTTCAGTTTCCAGTTTGCAGACTGGTGCTATAGTAGCTATTCTTGTCTAAATTTGCATTGCATATGTCGATTTGGTAGTATAATCTTCTTCAATTTGTCTTTCAATAGGTACAGAGCATTGACTATTCTGGTGAAGAAGTACAGGTCACTACTGCAGATGGAACAGTGTGGACAACACAAAAGGTACCCAATATGCTTCAAGATTAAGGATTCTAGGGAACACAAGAACAATATTGACAACATGTTCTTTTTGTCTTTTTTTTTTTTTTTTTCCCCCTCCTCAGAAGACTATTTAGTCCAATTTCTCCCCACTGAAAGACGAAAACTCATATATTCTAGTGACTCATATTTGGATGTCCTAGAGCCTATTTTTCATTGAGGACGCTTGAGTTTTGAGTACTAGTTGATTTGAAGAACTAAGCACTATAAAGGTAGTGTTAAAAATGTGAAGCAAATAGATTTTTATCTGGCCTTTCGAGTGACAGTTACGTTTTCTGGTTCCATTCCCTACTCAGCTTTACCCAATTTAGCATGTGAATCTGCCCTGTTAAAAGTTTTTCCCGTTGGTATGCAGGATTTGATAACCCATATTTCTCAGTCTCCCTTATTCCTTGTATCCCCACTTGCTTCATGCTGCGTAATTTAGCTTTTAGTAATTTTTAAAATGACACATAAACTTAATCAAGATTGGATTGACATCAACAGTGTTACTGAGCATATTTTAAAGAGAAGGGATCTGTGAAGGAAGAAAAAACCCAAACAAAACAATGACCATCTTCTCTCCTTTCAAAAACACAGTTTTGTTAATCTGAGAGCCATTGACTGTAATTTACAGGAGGTATTAAAATTCGTAGCATGGTTAGCCACTCTGATACATGCAATTCAACAGACTACAACTTAGATCCTGAAGTTCACTGGTTTTGTTTTCACCTGAATTTAAGGCATGCGTTTCCCATTAATGGGGAGTAAAACCAGACACTAATCTAGAGAAGTTTGGTGAGTATTAGGCTGTATCCTACAAGAGTAATCCAAGATAGTTAAGAGGATGCTGTGAGGCTTAAGTGCAGTATTCAGCTTTTGCTAGTGTTGTGATTGTAATTATTTCTTTCAGGTATTAGTGACTGTACCCCTGGCCCTTCTTCAGAAAAATGCCATTCAGTTTAATCCTCCACTGTCAGAAAAAAAAATTAAAGCCATTAATAGTTTGGGAGCAGGAGTCATTGAGAAGGTAAGTAATTTCAGATTATATTTAATTTTCTTTTCATAGAAACACTGGCTGCTTTGCACCTATTGCTTTTGCTGTGTGTTTCTCAGGATTTATTATGCATTTGGTTTTACTTCTATACAGTAGCCCAGAAGGGCAGAATGCTATCAGGGATCACATGGATTTCTGTTTCTTAGATTTCCCAACTTAATGGAATTTTTAAAGAAATTGCTTTCAGAATCACTTCACAGCTTAAATGTTTTGAGCAAGCCTTCATGATGGTCTTAGATCTTCCAAAATTCTAATAATATGTTTATTCCAGGTCCTTTCAACCTAATAAATACATAAACTATTTCAGAAGAATATTGAAAGTTGTGTATTTGACCAGTGTAAAATCTCCTGCCCTTTCCCAGTGCAAAAAGACAGCCTCTCCTGAAAAGATCCCTAGTTAGATGTATGCTTAGAACAAAACAGTAAGAGAAGTAATGCCAGAAACAGGATTATAACAATGTTGAAATTTAAAGGCAAGATTCAGAACTCCCATCCCACAGAATGGGGATCACTAAGTTCTGTGTTATGTTTGCAAAATTTCTGCTGAATTTCTTGAGCATTTCCCATAGTGAATTCCATTGTGAATTTGATAGGCTGTGCATTTCAGTTTGTGAGACTAGCATTTTTTTTTTCCTTCCCTGTCGCCCTTGGAGAACAGGCCCATATATCCTCTGTTGAAACCCTCTCATAGAACTGGGTGTCTCTAATTGAGTGGAAGAGGTAACAAGCGTTAGAAGAACAACATAATACCATATCCAATTATGAGTTTTGTGGTATGAAATGCTTTAATTCCTTCTCTCTCTCCCCCCTCTCCTCTAGATTGCCTTGCAGTTTCCTTATAGATTTTGGGACAGTAAAATTCAAGGAGCTGATTTTTTTGGTCACGTTCCACCCAATTCCAGCCAACGTGGGCTCTTCAGTGTTTTCTATGACATGGATCCAGAGGTATCATATGCTAGCTGTATTTTCTGTTGGCCCTTCAGAAATTCAGTTTGGAATCTAGGTGCAATAATTACTGAACAATGAAAGTTTTCTTTTTCCCCCCACCCCCACAACTGTTAAAAGAAGTGGAAGCGGTGTTATTTATCAAGAAAAAGCTGATTGATATTTCATTGTAATAAATGGGAATGTTTTCCTATGTTTGGATACAAATTAATGTACAAGCAAGTTAATGCTTTTATTTGCAAACTAGCCTGGAAACAAGTCTGTAATACCTGACTGTAGATGTACTAATATGGAAAAAAGTCTACCAGTCACTTTAAGTTTAGGACTTCTGTTCCCATTTAAATCAGCTAAAAATCCTGTTAAAAAGATCATGCTGGCTTATTAACACTTAATGGCTTGCACTAGCCTGAATAACGATATGGAATGACAGAAGAAAAGAGAAACGCTAGGCGTTGTATGAAATTGAGGTCTGTGGGGTCAGTCCCAAACTCATGAATTTCAAAACAAATTTTAATCAGTTGCACTGACATCATGTTTCTCTTCCCTGCCAGTTTCAAGCAGACACATTACACATTTCTATCTTACCTTTTGGTGCTTTTACAACAACTGCTGCTTACTACTTGGAAGCAATTAAAAGGCCATTTTGTAACCTTATGGCTTACTCCAAAAGGACACCATCCTGTGAAGACTGTGCTGTGTTACTACACTATCTGTGCCTGTATATGACTTTCCTTAAACAAGTTTTTGATACTTTTAAGTTTACTCTACATGAGGTTCAGTGTGCTGGTGCTGTCCAGAGACACTAGATATAATTTGCTTGATAGCTATCTTCTGCTAGCTATCAAGTTTAGTAACAGACGAATTGTCTTATATAAACGAGAGAGGGAGAGTTCTTTAAAGGAGTTGAGAACCTGTGTGCTATTCTGTAGTCACCGCTTCATCTTTGAAACTTCTGCATGGTAGCAGATTTCTTGAAGTAGAAGGAACTGAGCTTTCATTGCTTGGGCCAAGATCTGCTGGTAAGAACTTAGTATTGGCCTAATCCAAAATGTATCTTACCTAGTATTTAAATAGATTCTCTTTGTTACTGCCTTTTGAAACTGGAGTACAGTTGAGGTGGAATTTTGGCAGGGAACTGGAGCTTAAGAGGTCTTTCACAAAGAATAACACTATAAATGTCAAGTCTTTTGGTGTAGCCTTTAAATAGGTAGATAGGAAGTTTTTAGTTAATTCGGCAAGTTGTAAAAGGGGCTGACCGTAACACAGATCTGTGAACAAGACGTCGGAAGATGTTAGTAATTTAGGCATAAATACTGTAGAGTATGAACCCTTTATTTTAAGGAATCGAACCCACTTCCCTCTAGAACACAACTTGCTTTGCAGCTGAAATCTCTTTGTCAATACCAATTAAAAGGGACTCTTCAAGAAATACTTCCTAACCTAGTAATTGCGAAAGGATCTCATATCTTAATGTCTTGGTTTTAGGGCAAACAAAGCATTTTAATGTCAGTGGTCACTGGAGATGCTGTGATGACCATTAAGAATTTAGATGATAAACAAGTACTGCAACAGTGTATGACTGTACTTCGAGAGCTGTTTAAGGAGCAGGTAAGAGAAGCCTCTTTTATTAAGAGATTAATTAACTTGCCAACAGGTGTAAAGCTTTCAATTGTATTGCTTCATGATGTATAGGAAAACCTTTGACATTTTAAACTATTTTTCTCGTCTTGTCAGTCTGAGGCAATATGCTTCCTTTGAGATACACTAAAACCACAATGTTTCGTCTTTTGTGTGAAAAATGTGAAGAAATATCTTAGATCAGTTTGAAGGAAAATGGTAATGAATTGAAAAACAGAAATGAACTATCATCCTTTAAAGTGCTTTTAGAAAGGAAAATTAATTAAAATCAGTACTTTAGGCAGGCAACACAAATACATTTCTTAATTCGCTGTCACTTTATCCAAACCTTGCTTTTTTTTGTCATCACCGCTTCAATACATGATAAAAGCTTTAAACTAGATGGATTTGATGATTTAGCCCCCACCCGACCCCAACATGTAAAAAGCAACGGAAATTACAACACCCCCAAACCAAACCAATCCTTTACTCTTCTAATAAGAAACAACCCTTCCTGAGCTGACTTGGGATGGAGGTACAGGCAAAACGATCTATCAAGAGCCCTACATCCTGACTGTAAGAAAAACATTAGATAAAAGTTTCTACCTTTTTTCCTTTCCCCAGCTCATCATTAGGATAAAAACTAATAGGAAAACCAGAGAAATCTAGGGCAAGCAGAAGACCATCACTTAGCAATGTTATTTGCATTCCACTCTATAGACAGTAATGCCTTAGTTAAATGACTTAGGGCAGTTAGATCCCAAGGAATGCCTGTGTTAATGTTCATGGGTGATCTCTCAAGTTCTACTGATGGTTCAGATGTTAGGATTAACGATCTTGGAAAAACTTTGGCATCTGAAAGCTCGACTTTTCCTAGAAAACATACTTTTGGTAATGGCTTTACAGTTACCAGAATCATGTGCAATGTAAGTCCACATACCTGCTATTTGGATCTCATGAGAACGTAGAGGTAGCAAACAGGTCTTTGGTTTTGGTGCCACTCTAGTCTAGAAGAGCAATTTTCATGTCTGTCTCTGTGGTTTATAGCAGCTGTGAATTTCAGGCATCTGTCCACAACAGAGCGGGATTTTCAAAGACCGGATAGCTTCCAGAGGTGTACCAGAACTTCTTCTGGGATGTCGGTGAAACCTGCCATGCTTGGCTAGCCATTGTCTCGATTGCTTGAGTTTTAATCTCTCGTGTGCTACCTGAATGGAATAGTCTATTCGTTGATACCAGATGTTGTGTAAGAGGCAACCAGGGTGCTTCTGTTTACTTGTCACAAGCTCCTCAAGAGTAAGACACAGCTGTAGTTGACAAAGCCTTCATACGATTGTTATCCAGGCTCTTTTGGGTAGAATTGTGTGGAATTTGCATGCTGCAGGATGACAAAGAATACACAGTATTACCGTCATGGCTTAGCTGCAGACGCTCTGACTTTCTGGTTTTTGTTTTCTCCCTGAACCTAGTTTTCAAGCCAGCTCATTTTCTGATCTTGGATAAGTAATTTTACTCCCATGGAGAAGTAACATTATCTCCAAAGTGAAGATTACATTTTGAGATTTAACAAGCTAGAAGTAGCAAAGCATCATGCCTTACCAAGATAAAAAATGCTTACATTATACATACAAACACATTGAATGATGTTGGTATTGGTATTTTATCTGTTTGCAAGAGTATCTGTGTATTTTGAGGAGAATTCTTTTTTTACCCTCATGTAGTTCTAGGTTTACAATATCCAGATTTGTTGCATTCAAAACAGTGCAGCTGTAATGTTTCAGGCATCAGGCAAGTGTAACAAACAAAATTATCTTTGTGGTTAGTAGTATAATAAAGAAAATTGGAATTTAATTCTGGAATGTGATCTAATCTGTATCGTAATAATATTCCATACTCTAAAGCGTACAAGAAACTGTTTATGAGAAACTTCTGTTTTGATTATGCAGGAGGTTCCTGACCCAGTGAAGTTTTTTGTTACTCGATGGAGCAAAGACCCTTGGCTCCAGATGGCATATAGTTTTGTGAAAACAGGGGGCAGTGGTGAAGCTTCTCTAAAGCTTACAAGAAACTGTTTATGAGAAAAAGCTTTCTTTGCAGTGCATAACTTCTGTTTTGATTATGCAGGAGGTTCCTGACCCAGTGAAGTTTTTTGTTACTCGATGGAGCAAAGACCCTTGGCTCCAGATGGCATATAGTTTTGTGAAAACAGGGGGCAGTGGTGAAGCTTATGATATTATAGCAGAAGACATACAAGGAAAAATTTTTTTTGCTGGTGAGGTAAGTATCTTTGTTAGTGTTGATTAAGGTTATTGGGGAAGTATTTCTTACAAAAGATTGGCTTTTGCTAACCAACACCATTAATCTAGAGGCAGCATATAAATATTCTGTTACACAAATAGGCTAATGTTTCTTGATTTTGACACAGAACCCTCTTTATTCATATTATTATTGGGCATGGAACGTCTGCCAAATATTTCAGGTCAGGGTGAACTGCCTAACCATTAAGTGCAGAACAGGACAAGACGACTATACAATCCACTTGTATTTTTAGTCAAATTGTCTTTCCGTTACTCCATTTGTGGGTAATGTAACAAATGCACGCTGCCAATGGTATAGGTGCGTTCTGTACTGGAACAGAACTCACCTCCCGCACTAAAGCGCAGATGGCAAAACAGACCACTAATTTTGCTAGTTGACTTGCTTGCAAATGTTGAAGTTGGTAAAAATCTTAAATATTTCCTCCTAAATTCTTTCTAAGAAGTTTTCTGTGGTTTTTAAAAGTGTTGGTATATACTTAAGGAAAACAAAACTGATCTTATAAACTGAATATCTCTTCTAATAGTTTTAGAAACAATTAATACTTTTTTTTTTTTTAAATACAGGCCACAAATAGGCACTTTCCTCAGACCGTTACAGGAGCTTACTTGAGTGGAGTTCGAGAAGCAAGCAAAATAGCAGCATTTTGAGTACTGAAATTTTGTGTTCATAGATATATTTTTAATTGTTTTCTGTGGGTAAAACTATCTTCAAGTTTCCTATTGCTGCCTTTTTCCTAAGTGGTACTTAAATAGTATATGGTACCTGAAGATAAAATCTTCAGCTTTCTTTTCCTCTTTCTCCCTGACCCCCTTTTTAAGCCCTGATGATACATATTGTTGGGGACTTTTTTTCTGGCTAAGGTATTACCAGCAAGAGTGACATTGGAGTCCCTGGCCACAGCTTAACTAACGGAACTTTTGTTGAGAGTCCTCTTCTGTATGGCTCAAGTCCTGCTATTGTAAACCTTCATTTCAGAAGGTCGGAGTAAAACAAGACTAAACTAACAGACAGCATTAAAAATGCTGGCAGTTAGTCATGACGATGGGAAGTTTCCACTAACTGTGCTTCTCAGGTTGATTATGCTCATAGGAGCTCACACTTGCTCCCAAAAGCCTGAATAGCCTAGACAAATTCTAGAATTATTGTAGGAAGAAACTCAGCTATCATTTTTTTCCACTTGCAATCAATAACCTTTTCTAGAATATTTTTCATATTCTTAGCCTCCACTAAGTGGGCTTTGGAATATCAAGTTTGTTCCTTTAAATCAGACTGCTGGAACAGTTTACAGTGCAATCATAGAAAGGTTATTGTAGCTAATAAAAACTTGAAAAATTAACTTTTACATTACTTTAAAAAACTTTGAAATATTCTCTCTGCTGCTTATTCAGAGAAATTCTTGTTACGATAATAGGCTAAGTTTAGATTTGCTTAGTGCTTCTGATCACATAGAAACAGGACAGCTTAAAAAGGATATTGTAGTTCTAAGATTATTTTGAAAACAAACTTCCAAATTCATTTGGGCTGAGTAGAGGAACTATCTACTGATACGAGTGCACAGTGGGGAGTGAAGGACTGTAAGTTCCTAATGGCTCATTCAGATTTTATATTTAAAAAATAAGTGAAGATGAATGAGGAAAAATATTAACACTTTTATGAAGGGCTGAAACAAGGTGGCTTGCACTTTGACTTGAAGTTTGGGGTTTTTTTCTTTTATTATTAAAGTATTATTAAAAACAACTTGAGGGAATAATTCAGTAAGGGCTAAGCATCTGTCTAATAGCTTTTCCATGAGACAGGGAAGAAAAAAAAAATTTTCAATAGAAGACAGACACAACTAGGATATCTGTTGTAATACTGTTCCACTAAAATGGTATTAATAAAAAAAAAAAAAAATTAAACCCAACTTTTACTCTTCCCCTGCACCTTCCCTATAACTTTACTGCATAGATCTTGTGATTTCTGGAAGGGAAGTAAGCACTTATTCTCTCCCCTGCCCCACTCTCATACATAGGCTCTTTTCTTTTTTAAATCTCTCTTTTCATTTAAGAATGACACAGCAAACGTTTTTGAGTTACAGTGCTTATTTCCATAAAGCTGTATCCTTGGAAAAAAAAAACCAACAACAAGCAACCTTAAGAAAAATCCTACTGAAGAAATGCAATTCTTCTTTTAAAATACCTAATATTTTGGTTTTAGAGTAGCTATGATATTGTTAAATACCTTTATTTAATCTCTAATTTACAAGGTGAAGATGTTTATATAACTAGATGTTTTTCAGATATATATTCTGTTCTGCTTCTTAAAGCTGAATGATATGGATTAATAGGAAAAGTGTAACTGTTCATAATTTTCCTCTACATAAATGCTAGTATGTACAGTTTTAAAGTATTTCCAAGTATTAAATAGTAATTTAAAGGCTGTAAGAAGCAAGAGAAAAATCCTCTGATGACAAAAGATAATCAGACATCAGATTTTGCTTTTGGTAATCATTTGCACTTTGTTAATTTCCTATATTACAGGCCAACTTATAGCATAACTAGGAAAGATTGAGAGCTGCATATGTTCGAGTTCCGAGTTTCTTTCCGAGTTTATCATATATGACAAAATTATTAGGAGAGGAGCTTCTGAAGGTAGGGAAAAAAGCTTATTACTACAAGCCCAAAACATTATATTCCTTGGCTGCTTCAGCTGACCTTGGTCAAAATTTCAGTCAGCTTAATAACAACATAGAAACACATCACATTTTAGGTAGAAACTGCCTGGAAAGTCAAGCTCAGCACCCACTGCTGCAGTCCGAAGTCCGTGTGAACGTGCTTGATTTTAGGCATATGCTTCTATCCAGTTAATTTGTACTTGGGGTTTTAAATCTATCTACAACTTTGCAGGTAGATAAATGCTATACTCTAGGGAATAGAGATGGACATGAACAAATACTGTCACGTTTGGCTTCAGCTGCTGCACAATTCTCATAGCGTTAAAAAAAAAAAAGATAACAAATGATAACTTTACCAATGGCCTAGTCTAATAATTATTTGTATATTAGTTTGGTGCCAAGGCACTTAAACTGTGTTGTGCTGCACTTAAGTTTGAGGAGTAAATAAGTATGTTCCATTTTAACTTACGTTCATTTGAGATGTATAAGAACATCAGGCTGGTTCTGAGACTTCATTCTTTAATTAATGTTCCCCCAAAATTTTTAATACCCATGTTAAAATTATTTCAAGCATGTATGTGTTTTTTTTCTTTTGTGTTTAATTTATTCCCTGCAAATAAAGAACTGGGGAATGTTTTCTTTGAGTAGATTTGTTTAAATGTTACCAAAAATATTTGTATGCAGAGCATGATCTGTTACACTTCAACTCTTCTGTGTGACTATGTTATGGCAGCAGAATAAAACTGGAAAGTATCCACAGGATGCTCATGGCTTGGTTGTTTGTTTGGGTTTTTTTCCTCTTTAAATTTAACTAGTGGGTAAGCCTACTTTTTTGTTTCATTTGATATCGATTTAAGATTTCATTTTAGTATATTCCTACAGCTAGACAGTTCCCCAGAAATGCTGCTCTACAGCCTTCTCTGAGCTCTAAGTACTAACTTTGCTGTTATTTGGACAATGCCCTAATAGTCAGTGTCTTTTGCCTCAAAGTTTTACAAAGCCATTCATAAGCTTGTGTCAATTATCTTCCTTAGCCAGAGGAAATTTGAGCTAAAATGATAGTTGTTTAGAAGCACTGCCCATAATTTTAAAATAGCCAGAAAAATCACCAGTGAACCACTTAATGCTTTTCACTGAGTAAGTGTAGTGTGAACACTTTGTAGGATCATGGTCCTGCAGGGTTCCTATATACCCAAAACATGTAAAATACAAACAATGACAAATTCTGGTGACACGTATCTGTGTTATTTTTCTTGAATGGGAGGTTAGATGTTCATTTAGTTTAAGCTTGACTGCAGGCAACTTAAGAAAAAAAAAAATATTCCTACTCCCTTTGAAAGTTTATTTCAACCAGTAACACATGTAGGTCTGAACCAGCAAAAGCATGATGGTTGGAAGATTCACTGCTTTCCCCTAACCCCGTCATACTTGATTAGCAGTTCAAAGTTTGTATCCTGAGGATGTGCTTTGTTCTCCTAATGCTAACTCCCTGAAGGAAATTATTTTTGTTACACCTGACACTGGTCTTGAAAAATGTTAACTTTATTCTAAGAATAACAATCTTTAGAATGGAAACAAAATACTAATGCTGCTTTTAAAATAAAGTACAAATCAGTAGATTTCATCACACTCCCCCAAAGAATGACAGCCCTTCAAGAAAATAGTTGGTGTGAGGGATTTTTTTTTTTTTCCTTTTAGCCCAGCTGTCTAAAACTTAGATCAGAAATAAAAGTGAAGTAGCAAGTCTACAACTGAGTGCAGTTGGGTGAAAAGGCATGGCAAGTTAGGCAATATTGCCATCCTCTTATCCCCAGGACCTCTGGAGATCATCTGGTTCAAACCCTTACTCAGAACAGGGCCAACGTGGAGCTGGTTACTCGGGGAACTGCCAGGCTGAATTCTGAACATCTCCAACAGCAATTCCACAACTGCTCCAGACCCCGTTTCTGCATGACCACCCTCATGGTGAAGCTTTTCTTCCTCTATCATGTAACTGCAATTTCTCTTGTGCCTGTTACCTCCTGTCTTCTCGCTGTGCACCTCCAAGCAGAGCCTGGCCCTGCCTTCCCCATGCTCTCCCAGTTGGTGGTTGCAGACCGCAGTATGATCCCCCTTTATCCGTCTCTTCTTAAGGCTGAACAAGCCCAGCTCTCTTTGCCTCCCCTCCTACATCCTCTGCTCCAGCCCCCTAGCTCAGTTGAAGCTACTGGATTGTAGTCAACTTTCTGGTTTGGAAACAGGAATAATTAGATCTACCCAAGCAGTCATGAACCAAACTTCTCCCTGAAACAGCAACAGAGCTAATAAACCTTATTGGAATCACCATGCTGACTGCCAGGAGCATTATTTGGCCAGATTAAGCACTGGCGTCCAAAAGGGTTATTTTTAAGTCCAGCTTAGCAGTGGCTAATTAAACCCAGACATTCATAGATCTTGCTTTGTCACGTGCCTTGTAACAGGATGATGCAGAAAGAACACAGATGCTATAAGCAGCGTGCTCAGGCCCAAGAAGGCTAGCAGTCTAGAGCTTCTGGAAAGAAGTTGGATGACACTTAAAGTTGTATCTTCCTAATTTCATCTTGGTTAGACACGCCTCAGCAGTATACCACAGGTTACCACATAACTCTGACTTAACTAAACAGAGGAACCAGTCAGAGGAACACCGGACTGTAGGAATTATGCCGTAAACAATCAAATCAAGATGTTAGGACTATCCTTCTAGAATACAATGGTCAGGACATCACCTTAAGCATCTGGAAGGTATACACCTGAGCACTTTATTCAGTTACCTTTTATCCAATTAGCCAGTTTCTATTTTTTATAAGCATCTCTGTACAGGATTTAGAGCCCTGATCAGCTGTATAAGCAGGACATTTTATTTACCTTTTAGTATTGTCTTGCAGCCTTTCCCCAGTTGTAGCAAGAACTGGAATCCTGTATCAGCTGCAGCCAGACTGGTATGGATTAGCAGGGAAACAGCTCAGACATTTCTTC